GATTTCTGAAGATCATGTGACACTGAAGACTGGAGTAATGATGATGAAAATTCAGCTTTGATTACATAAATTACACTTTAAAGTACATTCAAATAGAAAACAGTTATTTTAAATAGTAAAATTATTTCACAATGTTACTGTTTTTGCTGTATTTTGGATCAAATAAATGCAGGCTTGGTGAGCAGATATCATTTATAATTATATTAAAAACAAATATTAATATATTTTGTAATATACATAAATAACAAAACACTTAAACCATAATGAACCCCTGTCTTGCTCTTGAAGCTTGCCATTGTGAGTAGTGAGACTTACAGTATGATTCAAATTATATCTGAATCAAATTTGTTTCATAATTGATAAACTTTGCAAAATTGACAGTGTTATTGAACTAAATTAAATTAACACTGAACTGAATTGAGCTGCAAAATCACACTGTTGTCTTCTGTAGAGCTGAATATTGTGCCAATTTCTATTATTAGAAGACATTATTATAAAGGTTATTATAAAGATAGATTATTATAAAGATATCATTTTTTAAATGAGCAATACACAATTGTCATAAATGAATTGTTAAATGAATTATGACACTGTTGTCTTCTGTACAGCTAATTTACAGCTGAAATTTATTTTATTTATTTTTTTTGCAATTAATAATTTTGTATTTTGCAAAATTGCCACTGTTATTTTCTTGTTTGTTACTGTGAATCTGCTTTAAAACAGTGTTGCATAAAGTGCTATATAAATAAATGTGATTCGACTTGACCTGACGTAACCTCTGACTGTTTTTGTCTTTTTATCCCAACAGGACCTTCAGCTCTATCTGGCCAATCTGGCCAATCAGACCGATCGGGAGAGCAGCACAGCTGAGATCCCGCTGGTTGTCATCTTGGATGATGTGCATGATGCAACATCTCTCAGTGAACTTGTTAATGGTGCTTTAACCTGTAAATATCATAAATGGTGAGTCTAGGAAAGTCTACACCAAAAATGACAAGTGGGTTTCCCAGTCATCTTAAAGGTGTCAAGAGCTGTTTTGTTTCTCTTTCTCAGTCCATATATAATAGGGACAACCAATCAGCCAGTGAAGATGACCCCTAACCATGGCCTACACCTCAGCTTCAGGTTGGTCAGTGCTAACATACACAAGGTCCTTTTAGCTTCCTGTCGAGTGTCAGTGAGGAACAGCTGGGACGTGTTGCCCCTCCTGCTTTTGTTTTCATTGTCGTTTTGGGTGACACTAACATGTGCTTGCCTTTTCACTCCCTATATACTGCAAAAGGATGCCTAATTTTCATATTTTATAGTGTTCAAATTTACTGTATGGCCTAACTCACATTTTCAACAAATGACAAACCACAATTCTAAGCACAGAAGTGCTAGTTTTCGCTCGTCTCTTTTTTCAAACATAAAATATAACAAATATAAAATAATGTCACTATAAATAAAAGTAACATGTCCATTTGGTCATTTATTTGACAAGTAATCATGATAAGCAGGGTAATATACAGTCAGCTGGTCATTATTGCAAAAAAAAAAAAAAAGCTCTTCAGGATAATATAAGACCTTCATCAATGTGTTTGGGGTTTATTTTTACACAATGACTGGCTGACTGTACATTAACTTTTATATTTTTACACACATTTATGATATAATAGGTTTTAATGTTAGCGAAAGAGATATACACAGATTTGCTGAAATTAATATTGTTTGTGAAATATTTACTCAAACAATTTAAATGTAGTTTATTCCTGTGATCAAATCATTATCAGTCTTCAGTGTCACATGATCCTTCAGAAATTATTCTAATATGCTGATTTGTTGCTTAAGAAGCGTTTCTTCTTTTTGTTGAAAACAGTTGCTCTTTACTGTTTTTGTGGACATCTCGGTTTTTCAGGATTTTGTGATGAATAGAAAGTACAACAGAACAGCATTTACTTACAATAGAATTTTTGGGCACATTATAAATGCCTTTACTCTCACTTTTGATTAATTTAATGCATCCTTGCTGGATAAAACTATTAATTAAAAAAATATATAAAAATACTGACCCCTTTTTGAATGGTCCTCTATTTATCAGTTTTCATATTTGTTTTACATGTTTCCTCTATACAGGATGGTGATGTTTTCCAATAACGTCGAACCAGCAAACGGATTCCTGGTACGTTACCTGCACAGAAAGCTAATGGAGGCTGAAGATCCCAGGAGCGTGAAGAATGAAGATCTGCTGCGGGTGCTGGACTGGGTGCCCAGACTCTGGTACCACCTTCACACCTTCCTGGAGAAACACAGCACCTCTGATTTCCTCATTGGTAATTTTCATTTTTACATCGGCACCATATTGGATAAGAATGAGGAGGCATTTTTTTAAATAACAAGCTTGATGTGCCTAATTCAGGGAGTATTTCATCTATGTGTGTCCAATCTGTGTTGCCGTAGGTCCCTGCTTCTTCTTGTCCTGTCCAGTAACTGTAGAGGAATTCCGCACGTGGTTTATCGATCTTTGGAATCACTCAATCATCCCGTACCTGCAGGAAGGAGCCAAAGATGGCATTAAGGTGGGTCAAAGTATCCCAAACTTGAAGATAAATTTAACCTGTCGGTCAGAATGCCGCTTCCTAACTGTTCAAGTGAGCAGTTTTTGGTTGAATCAGTGTAAATATGTGTGTCTGCAGGTTCACGGGCAGAAGTCGGTGTGGGAGGATCCGGTGGAGTGGGTCAGAGGATCTCTGCCCTGGCCGTCTGCTCAGCAAGACCAGGCCAAACTCTTCCACCTGCCTCCCCCGAGCACAGGCCCCGGCAGCCCCAGCCAGCCAGGAGACGATCGGCCACATAAAGAGACGCCGCCCAGCTCCGTCGAGTCAGATCCACTGGTCAGTGTGTGGATTAGGGCTGTCAGCATTAATAAAAGAATTTATTTAAATCTATACATTTTCTGTATATATACATTATATATTAATCGTGATTAATCGCATCCAAAAGAAAAGTTTTTGTTTACATAATATATGTGTGTGTACTGTGTATATTTATTGTGCATATATATAAAAACACATACAGCATATATTTTGAAAATATTTACATGTATATTCATGTATATATTTATATTCATATAAATGATATCATATATAAATATATTTAATATATAAACGGAACATATTTTTCTTAAATATATACATGCATG